AATATCATTGTGCCCCAGCCTGGTTGTGTTTGAATTGCTCCGTTTTTCTCTCCCCCCTCCCCCACCGCCTTGTTGCTCTCTGTGCTCTGTGTGTATGTCCTGCGCTCTGCTCCCCCTTTCAGACCATTCCAGTGGTTCCCATGTCGCCGCCCTCCTCCCCCCTCCTCCCCCCTGCGCGCCTGGCTCGGTGAAGCTTCCACCGGCTCACGCAATCCTTGGTTGAATAATTGAAGTTGTTGAAGATCGCCAGGGGATGCACGCGCAAGCGCGCATGCGAATAATATACAAGTGCGGCCATCCAGCCGCGAGCCGCCCGGCGAGCAAGTCCACCAGCCGGGCCGAGCGACAAGCCCCGCCTCGGCCAAATCAACCCCCGGTCGCTACCCGTCGGAGAAGAGTGCCGCAAAGAGCGCTCGGCTGACCGCCGGGCCAATCCGCCGGCCGGTTCGCTCCACGCGAATGCCCTCCACCAGCCGCCGCCGCGCATTATCATCATCTAGTGCGGCATACGCGCGGTAGAGGCTACATCCGGCCCATCCACATCCACACAAATACCATCACACAGATGGGCTCAGTCAGTGCCTCCACTCGCGGGAGAGCCATGCACGGCCGCCGGTGAGCACCCAAAAGGATCACGCACTCAAAGAGGGTCGGATACTCCTGCGCAATGGCCAGCGCCATGTCCGGCCCGAGGCTCTTCACCTGGACCAACTGCTTCAGGTAAAGTTCGCCCACTGTCTGCAGCTGGCTCTTGGTGTTGATTTCCCCGAATAGACGGTAGGTCAGCAGAATGCGCGAGAGGCGGGGAACCGGACCGGGCGCCGGGCCCCGCGCGGGGGGGCCCTCTCGCAGCTCCCGCGACAGGGCATGCCGCACATCGGCAATGTCTCGCGCCGAATACACCACCGGCATCTGGTCCAGGGCCACCAACTCGCGGCCCTGCACCCGCATGGGCGTGCCCCGTCCCCACCGTGGAGGGCAGGTCGTACGTCAGAATCAGCGGCCGGAGGGGCGAGGGGCGAGCGAGAAAAAAAGAAGGAAAGAAGGACTCAGCGGCCTCTGCCGCCCGGCGGTCCCCCATACCAGATACAGCTTTCCAAGGTAAGTGGTCAGGTGTTCCAGCAGCTCGATCGTGTCGTCCAGCCCAGTGGTATTCCGCAGGAAGAAGTGATTATCGGTCTGAGACCGGAGGGCCACATTGCCGGCCGCCGGGCACGGGCAGGCGCAGCAAGCCCGGCGGTCAGTCATGGCCACACGCAGACACACACACACACACACACGCGCGACAAAAAAGGAGAACACCGCCCAGGCGCACGGGCCACATACCTGCGTGTGCAGAGCCGCCGATTCGAGCCGGCTGCGCTCAGCCTCGAACATGACCGACCCCGAGGAGGTATGGTCCTCGACGATGTAAAACACCAAATCCATGCCGGACAATTGGAGCCGGTGCTAAATGCACTCGATCGAGCCCCCCATGACAGGACAGAGCCGGGTGAGAAAAGAGGACCACACGGCAGGAAAGGGCCCCCGCCCCCCTCCCAACAGCAGAGGTACCCCCCCTCCCCTCACCCCCTGGCGACCTGGCACATACCTTCTGCTCGCGATACCGCCGGTCCTTGATGCTGGCCGCCAAATCGTCGAGGCGCTTGCGCTCGGCCACCACGCCCAGCATGACCTCCGCTGGGCATGAGCACCAGACACAAGGTCCATCGCCAAGTCAGTACCGGCGCGAGCGTGGAAGAGAGAACCACGCCCGGGCTGGTGGCGCCCCCCCGGCCGGCCGTACCATGTGTCGAGGGATCGCGCGCTACCCAGGTGATGTCGCCCACCGACAGGGGCCGGGTGTCCACGGCGTAGCCCTTGCCGGACAGCTGCCCCTGGATGTAGTCGCGGTCACTTCGCCCGCGCACCTCCCGCGAATCCAGCAGCATCATGATCTCGAAGGTGCCCGGGTGCATGGTGATGGTCTGGCCGAGGGACGAGGGGAAGATGGTCAGTGGACCTCCCGGCCGGGGAGCCGCGCCAAGGCAGGCTCCGTGCATGGCGCGAAAGGGCCCCCCTTCGGGCCCGCGAGAAGGGGGCGTACTCGAATCTCCGGGTGCGAAAGGGAGAGCTCGGAAATCGGCACGGCAGCCGGCATGGCGGCAGCGCCGGCAACGCCCGCGGCAGCAGCAGGGCCAGCCGCGGCGGCAGGGGCCTGTGTGTCGGCGGCGGCGGCCGGGACCTCGTCGTCCGGTCGGGCGAATCCCGGCGGCAGGCCGGCCGTCGTGCAAAGCACATGCGCCAGTTCGGTGCCCTCGCTATTCAAGTGATACCGATTGGGCTCCGAGGATCTGGGCACCCGTCTGTCAGTACAAGCATCCCCGGAGGGAGGGCCACGCGGATGCCCCAATGCCCCCCCCCCCCTCCCCGGGCGCGCCGAGCATGGCACCTTGCCGACGCACCGCGAAACAAGCCCCCGCTTGATGAGCCCGGTCATGGCCGAGAAGGAGGAGCTCAAAACCAGGGTCCCGGACAGGTCCACCTGCTGATTGGCCGCCAGCAGGCGCATGCACACTTCCGCCTGCGAGGGTGGCCAGGCCGGCGCGCGCACGACCGCGCGTTAGACCAGGCAGCCCTCCGCAGGGTGGAGAAACGGGGCGACGTGGAAGGGGGCAAGAAAAATGCAAAAGGAAAAGCCAGTCACCCACCTCCGAAATGATGGCCTCGCGTGTGTGGATGTGATTTCGGAAGTTGCCGACATAGCCCCCCCCGGCGGCCGGGGCCCCCGGGCCGGCGCCCGGCGAGTCGCCACCCTCGGCGTCAACTTCCGGCCGCCAGGGGACGAAGGCCGCCCGGGAGGTCGCCTCATCCAAGCGCAGGAGGCTGGTCAGGATGGAGAACGGAACGCTGCCCGGGGCCGGGGCATACATGCGGGTGGATTTCTTCCGGGACTTGCCCCCGGGGGCAGCCTTTGCCGGGGCCACCGCCGTGGGGGCCGGCTCCTGGCTGGCCGCCGGGGCCGCGGGCTGAACCCCAGGCAGGCCCAGTGACCCGAGCGGAGCCAGCACATCGGCCACACGGTGCAGGGCCAACTCCGGCGGCCCGTGATCGCGGGTGTAGGCAGCCAATGCCCGGTCCAGGGTTTGGGCGATCCCCCGGCCAACGCCCTCCAGGATCAGGCACGACGTGCCGTCCGGCAGCACCAGCGGATAGCGCTGGAGGCTGCGAATGGCCTGCCATGCACGAAGGCAGACCAAGGCCAGGTCATGGACACGGGGCCGAGGGAGGAGGCATGCACAAGGGCCAGACGCCGGCCAGCTGGTGAGCTCCCTGGCAGAAAGGGCCGCACAACCGGGGGGGAAAAAAAAAAGAAGAGGGAAGCACCCGACGCAAGCATACCTTGCGGTAGGTGAACCGCGCCTGGCTCGACCGATGGATGGCATCGGACTCGATGCGCTGGAGGGTTTCCAGAAAGAGGCTGTTCGGGAAGGGCAGTTCCGCCGGCTGGGGCGCCGAGGGGGGACCATCCGCCGGCCGCGGGCGCTTGGCCGGCCGCGGCGCACCAGACTGCCCGGAGGGAGGGCCCGAGCCCGGCGGACCACCAGACATCCTCCACACGGGGAAGACACACACGGAAAACGCGGGGGGGGGGGGAGGGGAATAGGCAGAAAGGAGGGACAGAAGAGGCGCGAGGGAGGGGGAGACTCATAGGGGGAGGGGCGCCGGCCCGACGCCGTGGACAGAAATGGGGCTTTTCTATTTTTCTATGTGGGGTTTTTTCGGGGGGGGGGGGGGGGGAGGCAGGGCGGGCAGGAGGAGAGACGGAGGCGTATGCGCGGCCAAGATCGACCGGCCATTCTCACGCCAGATGCCGACGGACGGGGCCTAGCAGCCGGGTGGCGCTACGGCCCGCACGCGCGGGCGATCGCGTCCCCGCCAGCAGCCGGGACACGGACCGCGGATCAAACCGGCTCGGTGGCCGCCGACTCCGCTCCCACCGGCGGGGCGACAGCGGGCGGGTGCACGGCCTCGGCCTCGGCCTCGCCAGCGGCCTTCTTCAGGAGCTGCTCCTGTTCCTGGAGCGACGCCTCCAGGGCCCCGGCATAGCGCTCCGGGCTGACGCACCAGGGGTTGAAGGGGAACTTCTGGACAATCGGCCCCCGCTGATGGTTGGATGGCTTGGCAATGGCCAGGAAGCCCTCGCTCTCGGGCTGCGGCGGAGGAAAAAAAAAAGTCAGCCAGGGCGACCCAGCCAAGAGCAACATGCCATCGCATCGGGCGGGGAAACAGAGACAGACCCATGCAGGGCACACGCACAGCGGTGGACACGAGGCTCGGATTGGTGGCCAGGTTGCGGTTGAGCTCGATCAGCTGCGCCCCCGACAGGCCGAGGTTGATGGAGGAGGTGATCGGCTCGGTGGGGGCGCCCTCGGCGCTGGCGGCCGGCCGAGCCTCGAAGGTGGCCAGCGTCGAGCGCGCGTGGATCTTTTGCCCCCGGGGCGGGCCGCCTGACAGACCGAGGGCCAGGCGAACAGCATCGGGCCCGCGCGCGCCCCGCCACACACACACACACACACACACACACACACACATACACGACCGGGCAGGTCCGGCGGTCGGGCGGCCAGGATGATACAGCGGACAAGGGGGGAGGGGTGAGAAAAGACAGCAGGATCGCCGGTGGCTGCCTTGCCAGGCGGGCGAGGATGCCCCAACGGGCTCACGCACGGGGACGCCCCTTGCAGGCGCGCTTGTCGATGGACTGGCAAATGTTCGCCGGGAAGGACACTTTGGTGACAGTTTGCCCGGTCCGCAGGACCGAGTGCCCGGGGGCCAGGCCGAGGATCAGCAGCCCATTCACATGGTGGAAGACCGCCCCGTGCGACTGGTCGGTCTTGAACCGGTCGTCGATGTAGTACGACTTGCCGTACCGCGCCAGGAAGGGCTGGTACTCGGCCTCGAATTCGGCCACCTCCGCGTCGCTGGTTGGCGCCTCGCTGGCCAGGGCCACGGTCCGGCGGAGGGACTGAAGGTCCTCGCTCATGGTCGGGAGTTGGGGGGGGGGGACGAAAAAAGGAGGGAGCAAGCGCCAATGGGTGGGCGGGGCAGGAGGGGAGGGGGAAGGGAGGAAAGACGGGGAAGGAGATGCCTTGCGACGGCACCCCTCTGTGTCATCGGCCGCCCCGGGCCCCGAAAAAATGGGGACCCGTACGAGGCCTTCCTTCCCCGACCTGGGAGGCCCCTCGCCGAGGGTACGGAGGGCGGGAATGGCGAGCGGCGGCCACCACCACCACCACCACCATGCCTGGCCCCGCCCCGTCCCCCCCCTGAAAAGAGCACGCGCTGTGCCGCCTCCCGCCCAACCGCGCGGGGAGAAGGGAACAAGGACCATGTATTGGGTGAGAGCATTGGCAGTTGGGTATGATACAGGGGGAACCAGGGCACGGCGTGCCGGCCGTCCGGTCCCCGGGGAGGGAAGATGGCAGGATGTGTCTCGATTGTGTGTGTGTGTGTGTGCGCGAAACACACCCGCCCGAGAGGGATGCTCGTCGGGAGGGGAGAGGGCATGCTCTTCTTGCGCTCGCGCCCGGGTGCATGCACACAGGCTGGCCCGCTCTCTCGCGCTCGCCCACGCACACGCGCTCTGACAGTCTCCCTGGCTCTCTCCCTCTCTCTCTCGCTCCCACTGTTTCGGGGTTGGAGGATGCTCTATGGGTGCTTCTCGGAAGGAGGAGGAGGAGGAAGACGAGGGAATATAGGGAGGGAGGTGAAGGGGATGCCCCGCGACATCTGCGCGCGCGAGTGCGGGCCAGGGCCGCGGAGCTGGCCCCTTTGTTGCTGTGAAGGAGGAAGGACGGGGAGAGGCGGTGCGTGGCGCGCACGAGAGCGCAAGGCGAGGCCAAGAGGAGGGATTGGGGGAGGACGCGGGTGCGCCCATCTAAAAAGTCCTGATACGATGTCCGGCTCCGCCCCCCAGGGGGGAATTCACCAAAGGGGGAAGAGGGAGCGAGCGAGCGAGCACACACCTGCGCGGGTCTCTTCGGGAAGCGGGTGGTTGTGTGTCCGAGGCGGGCGGGGCGACGCCATGGTCGCCATCATGGCCCGCCACATCGCTGTCCGCCTACCGCTCTCATGCCCTCCAGAGAGGCCGAAACGAGCTCCTGCTTACTTGCGCGGGGGGTGGAAGGCACCCGGTGGGTATGGCACAACAGCAGCAGGAGGAGGAGGAGGAGGGAGAGAGCGGCTCCCGGCCTCTCGCCCGGAGGCCAGGAAGGAGGAACCCCCCGCGGAGGGCCGTCAATCCGAGTGGAAGATCTCGCTCTCAAAGCCGAAGAAGGGATCATTCTCGTCCATCTGCATGCGGCTGAGGGTGCGCTCGCTCATGACCCGGCGGATGAAGTCATCGCCACCGGCCGACCGGTGGCCGTGCTGCTGGGCCTGCTGGGCCTGTTGGGCTTGCGCCTGCGCCGACATGTGGTGATGATGGTGGTGTGGCTGGCCGCCGGAGCCCGGGGGGCCGCCCCCAGGCCGGCCGGCGCCGGGGCCACTGCCCGACGGGACGCCACCGGGTCCGCCCCCGGCGCCGGTGCTCACAACCGGCGCCGGGCCCGGGGGCCGGCCGGCGGCCACGGCCGCCGGATGCGGAGCCACCAGCGTCCCGGCCAGGACGTCCTCCGGCACACGCGGCACAATCGGCGGCTGCATATGCCGCAGGAGGGCGAACTTGACCCCGAAGAACCACGGGTCACGCTTGACCTCCGCCGCGCCGGCCTCGCTGCCCAGGCGCCGGCGCTCCTCCCGGCAGAGCAACCGCCGGATGAAGGACTTGCATGTTTGCGAGATCGGGTCCCCGTCCCACCGGGCATGGGGAATGAGCTGGACACCGGCCGGGTGGGCGCCAGGACTGGCGGCCGCCACGGCGGCCAATCCCGTCGCCCCGGCCGCCGCATTGGCCTGTGCCGTCAGGTCATCCGGGAAGAGCAGCGGCGCGGTCAGGATATTGGAGAAGGTGGCCCGCCGGTCCGGCCCCTTGAAGGGGGTCCGGCCGTAAATCATCTCATAAACGAGAATGCCCAGGGTCCACCAGTCCACCGGGACCGCATGCCCCCGGGAGAGGATCAGCTCCGGCGCGATGTACTCCTCGGTGCCGACGAAGGAGTGCGTCCGGAAGGAGTCCACCACGGCCTGGGTCGAGACGTCGGACACGCGCTACGCACGGCAGCATCGAGGTCATGTGTGTGTGTGTGTGTGTGTGCGGGGGGGGGGGGAGAAGGAGGAAAAGAAGGAGAGATGAGAGACGAGAAAAGGGAGAGAAGTGAGAGAAGTAAGAGGCGAGAGAAGGTGGAACATCAAGGGGTCAGACAATGCAGAAGGCAGGCGAAGGAGAAGAGCGGAGGAAAAGGGCGAAAAAAAAAGGAGGACCAAGATCGAGCAGCGAGGGGGGGGGCAAAGGGAAAATCCAAGCATGTACCTGCATGACACCGCTGCGCACGACCGATACACCGCCCCCGCCGCTGGCCTTCTTGCTCAGGTCGAAATCCGCCAGCATGATGTGCCCGGAGGAGTGGAGGAGCAGATTCTCCGGCTTCAGGTCTCGGTAGACGAACCCCAGCATGTGGATGTACTCCAGTGCCAGGACCACCTCGGCCGTGTAGAACCGCGCGGCCATCTCGCTGATCCGGCGCCCGGGCTGGCGCTGCAGTGTCCGGAAGAACTCCCCGCCCGCGCAGTACTCCATCACAAAGTAGATGTACTCCTTGCTTTGGAAGCAGTGGTACAGCGGCACAATGAACGGGTGGTTGGCCGACCGGAGGATATCCCGCTCTGTCAAGACGCGGTTAATCTGGGCAGCGGACACAGGGGCGCGAAACAAGCGATGGGATCCGAGGGCAGATAAGAGAAGGAAGGGGAAAGAGAGAAAAGG